CTACCGGGACATAAACCAGCCTGGAGACACTGGGTTCACCAAGGCTACCAGGACATAAACCAGCCTGGAGACACTGGGTTCACCAAGGCTACCGGGACATAAACCAGCCTGGAGACAATGGGTTCACCAAGGCTACCGGGACATAAACCAGCCTGGAAACACTGGGTTCACCAAGGCTACCAGGACATAAACCAGCCTGGAGACACCGGGTTCAACAAGGCTACCAGGACATAAACCAGCCTGGAGACACCGGGTTCAACAAGGCTACCAGGACATAAACCAGCCTGGAGACACTGGGTTCACCAAGGCTACCGGGACATAAACCAACCTGGAAACACTGGGTTCACCAAGGCTACCGGGACATAAACCAGCCTGGAGACACTAGGTTCACCAAAGCTACCGGGACATAAACCAACCTGGAAACACTGGGTTCACCAAGGCTACCATGACATAAACCAGCCTGGAGACACTGGGTTCACCAAGGCTACCGGGACATAAACCAACCTGGAGACATTGGGTTCACCAAGGCTACCGGGACATAAACCAACCTGGAGACATTGGGTTCACCAAGGCTACCGGGACATACACCAGCCTGGAAACACTGGGTTCACCAAGGCTACCAGGACATAAACCAGCCTGGAGACACTGGGTTCACCAAGGCTACCGGGACATACACCAGCCTGGAAACACTGGGTTCACCAAGGCTACCATGACATAAACCAGCCTGGAGACACTGGGTTCACCAAGGCTACCGGGACATACACCAGCCTGGAGACACTGGGTTCACCAAGGCTACCAGGACATAAACCAGCCTGGAGACAATAGGTTCACTAAGGCTACAAGACATAAACCAGCCTGGAGACACTGGGTTCACCAAGGCTACCGGGACATACACCAGCCTGGAAACACTGGGTTCACCAAGGCTACCATGACATAAACCAGCCTGGAGACACTGGGTTCACCAAGGCTACCGGGACATACACCAGCCTGGAGACACTGGGTTCACCAAGGCTACCAGGACATAAACCAGCCTGGAGACAATAGGTTCACTAAGGCTACAAGACATAAACCAGCCTGGAGACACTGGGTTCACCAAGGCTACCGGGACATAAACCAGCCTGGAGACACTGGGTTCACCAAGGCTACCAGGACATAAACCAGCCTGGAGACACTAGGTTCACCAAGGCTACCGGGACATAAACCAACCTGGAAACACTGGGTTCACCAAGGCTACCGGGACATAAACCAGCCTGGAGACACTGGGTTCACCAAGTCTACCGGGAAATAAACCAGCCTGGAAACACTGGGTTCACCAAGGCTACCGGGACATAAACCAGCCTGGAGACACTGGGTTCACCAAGGCTACCAAGACATAAACCAGCCTGGAGACATTGGGTTCACCAAGGCTACCAGGACATAAACCAGCTCGGAGACATCATGTTCATCAAGGATACCAGGACATAAACCAACTAGGAGACACTGGGTTCACCAAGGCTACCAGGACATGAACCAACCTGGAAACACTTGGTTAACAAAGAGCATCATGATATATACAAGCCTGGACACTTGAATACTTGCTTGTTGAAGCAGAAAAATCAACTTCAGCTGAAATTTTACTTACAATCTGTGTTACGACACATATTCTAGCATACAATAAATTTGATTTTTAAAATTAAAATAACTAGTCTTTCGGATACTCAATAGCTATATTATGTAAATTTAAAAGAGTTTAATGTATTTTACGATTGAACAAATTTCTCTGGATATTTCCGAAAAAGAGAAATTAAGCTTTAACTTAAACGAATAACTTAATAATATAATAATAACTTAAATGAATTTAGAGTATTATGCGATAATATTATAAAATAAACAAAATACATAGTAGGGTATGCAAATCCGCCTCAAGACATTATATATAGTATTCATCTCAACAGTCTATCAATGCTCCGTAGCAATGGGGAGAAGACGCCCAGTAAGAGTCATCCAAGAACCGGACTGGAAAACGGTTGTGAAGACTTGGTGGTAAGTAGGAATACAGTAGTGTTAGTAACATGCGGTTTTTGGGATAACTTATGTAGCGTAGCTTCAACGGCAAATCCTTTCTGGTAGTTTGGCCTCAGTGGTAAATTATAGATTTGGTAGATAAATTTGTGACTTTTATATCTTGTCGCGTATAGATTCCATTTTAAAGCTGATTCTTGTTAAGAATTCAATTTGAAAGTAATCTAGTTGACTTTGGAGTTTGAATCAGTTCCAATATACTTGTAGCAGGCGGCATCTTAAAATGAAGAACCTTTTTAAGTAAGAACCTTTGTTTTGCTAGTTTTAAACAGCATAGTTTTCTGACCTTTAGTTATTTGGGTATTGTTGTAAAGAACATTTTCTTTTGAAGATGTGCTTCATGTATACGCCAGTTAAAGTAATTTGTATATATCGGCAAGCAACTTTGTTTAAACTTATTGTTATTGTAAAATAGGTCTTGTCGTAACTTTAAAGTTTTACAAGTGGTCAATTGTGATAGCTTAGTAGCCTTGTGTTTATAAAATGTTGGATACACCTTGCTATAACTAGCGGTCAATCTAGTTGATGGCCCTTTCTACAACTACATTTGAGAAGCTATTCAGTAAGGAATGTTTTTTGGTATACTTGTAAAACTTTTGTAAACTTGTATATATTGATTCCATTTTCTAAATCTACTTGTTAAATGCCTAAATAATTTTGATCAAACCTTCACTTTCAACTAGAATCATTTGTATTAATATTACAAATATATTCTCACAATGAGTATCTTTTTTTATTTAAAAAACGCTAGCTTTCAAGCGTTAATCTCTTTCCAACGGGCTTACTAAAATATCGACATTAACCCACCAGAAGAGCGAATAACGCTTGGAAGCTAGCGTTTTTTAAATAAAAAGATACTCATTGTGAGAATATATTTATAATTTTAATACTTTTTCACAATTTTATTATGAATAGAATCATTTGTGTTCGAAACTCTTATTTATAAACAAGAAATGGAACAATGTACCAAAATAGAAATTATGCAAAGTTAACCTTTTACTTTTTGGCATTTCTTCGGTTTGATATGTATCTATAAACTTATAAATACTTGTTATTGAGAAAAAATTGTTAATATTTGTAGGCTTTCCTCTAGCACACGACCTAAGAAATATCTGTTGCATACATTTAACTTTCCTTTTAGACATTTATTCGATTTTTTATGCACCTATAAATTTCGAATTACATGGTAAATCGAGAATTGTTAATATTTGTATGCTTTACCCTAGCACACACACTACCTAAGAAATATGTTGCATACATTTACCCTTCTTTTTAGACATTTTTGCGATTTGTTATGTACCTATAAACTTTGAATTACATGGTAAATTGAGAATTGTTAATATTTGTAGGCTTTTCCCTAGCACACACGACCTAAAAATATGTTGCATACATTTAACTTTCCTTTTAGACATTTTTGCGATTTTTTATATACCTATGAACTTCGAATTACTTGGTAAATTGAGAATAAATTGTTATAATATTTGTAGGTTTTCCCCTAGCACACACGACCTAAGAAATGTGTTGCATACATTTAACTTTCCTTTTAGACATTTTTGCGATTTTTTATATACCTATGAACTTCGAATTACATGGTAAATTGAGAATTGTTAATATTTGTAAGCTTTCCCTAGCACACACGACCTAAGAAATGTGTTGCATACATTTAACTTTCCTTTTAGACATTTATTCGATTTGATATGTACCTATATAAATTTCTAAATACTTGGTAAATTGAGAATACATTTTTAATATTTGTAGGCTTTAACCTAGCACCCACACGACTTGAGAAATATCGGTTGCATACTGTAAGACACCTATATTATGTAGTACAACCGTCATCGCGATCATAGCACACCACCTTGTTCTGAGCGCAATTCTCTTCCTAACTTCGAATTCCATTGAAATGGTCGAACCTTCAAGATGTAAACTTACAATAGGGTCAAAAGATAATCTGACGACTCCGTGCAGGTGACTAATAGTTAAGACATGTTTAGCCCAATTTAATAGTTAGCATCAACTTGTTTTGATCTAGATTAGGACAATGACAAAATCCATTAACGACCATCTTAAGAGAGATCAAGATATCTTGTACGTTCATCTACTATATTTATCCTCTGTGTAACTCCAACATTTCCATGAAAAATGGTTTCTTTTTACAAATACTGTGCTTTCTCGTTAGTTTTACTCATTTTTTAATATATACAAAATTAAACTAAAGGATCATAGGCCTTCTCTCGTTTAATTTGCATTATCTGCCAAAACCTTCAATTATGTAAAATTGACAAAAATATGAAAATTTTAAATTTTCCGAAATTCTCTTAATGAATTTCTTAAAATAAGATTTTTTCCTTGTTTCAAGCAAAGATATTTAACATTACTATGAGCTTTGAATTATGATTTATGAACACGCGTGTCAAATATGTAAAATTGACAATAAATGTTTATATAAAATATTTTACCGAAATTAACTTCTTTTAATGAGTTTCTTAAAATAAGATTTTTTTTCATTTATAAGTAGATTGTATTTAACATTGCCAAGATCTTTTGTGATTTAATATTATGTACACGCGTGTTAATTCATGTAAAATTGAGTGTTAATATGAACATAAATTTATATATTCCCGAAATTGACTTCTCTTAATGCATTTCTTTAAAATTAAGATTTTTCCTTGTTTTAAACAAATTATAATTTTTTAACTTTGCTAAGTTATTTGAATTGTGATTTGATATGTACACACGAGTCATTTAGGCAAATTTTACATTTATAATACAATATAATGCGGCCTATGATTTGTAAAACGAAATTTGACAATTATACCGCAAATGTTTCTTTTGAACGAAAAATCTAAATTTATTTTAAGGAGAAATAACATTATTTCTAACCTTAGGGATGAATTATGAAAGGATGAATTGTGAAGAGTAATGATGAACGGAAAAAGTGTCCCGAGATGGGAATCGAACCCACAGTGTTACGCTTACCGGGCAGATGCCATGTCCACTAGGCTACCCTGGACATACACGTTAATGTAACGTTTCCCTAAATTAACCTTTATTGTGTGTGTGCAGGGATAAATTTCTAAAGTGGCTGATTAGCTGGTAGGTACGCTCCTTGTGATGCCTATGCTAACTAGACATATCTAGCCTAAATTATATTTTTAGTGCTTAATATACCTTGTAATACCCTGTAATAACGTAAATTGTTTTGCATACTTGTATTTTGAGGTAATATACATATAAAGAAAGGAAAGAGTTGTAAAATTGAAGAGCCGAGTTTTTTTTTTTTTTTGTCTATAGAAGAATAAAGCTAAATATATAATTATATTTTCTTCTTTAATTTTGTGAAAGAAAAAAGGAAATCCAAGTGTGTTAACAATTCAATAAAGTCCCTTGAATCAATATTGAGTAAAATTAATCAGGCATTCAGGGAAAAGTGTCTTTTCATAGTGTTATTATGAAATATTTTTACTGATCTCAAACTATTTTTTTACGATTGTTTAAGATCTCGAAAATTCCATTTTGCGCTCGTAATCGTGTATACTGGAAGAGAGTGAATCGCTATTCTTTGTGTATTGAAAAAGGAAAATGTATTCTTGACTTGAATAGGTTTTGTAATAGAAATGTGATTGGTACTTTCCTGTACAAGGATGGACTTGGTATCCAACACATTCACTACTTCCTCTGTCATGGCCAGAGTGGTCTTACCTAACGCACTCAACCAGTACTGTAAGAAAGATTGGATTGTCATAGAACAAACCCACAGTTGAGACAAAAATCTTTCTATAAAAAAATAAGGTATTAAGACGCGAATGTTTCTTTTCACAAATAAAATTTATACTGTCCTTACTGCAATGAAAATGTATGATAAACGTCATTTGATTGTATAAATTTGTGAAAAGAAACATTCGCGTCTTCATTCTTTATAAATAGATGGTTCGTTATTGCTTTATATAAAATCTTTCTACTTCGGATACTTAAAAAGGTTTTCAATTCTAGATACAAATCCTTTCAACACTATGTTAATATTTTGTAATGATTTTGTGCAGCCACCGGCCCTACAAGCTTCATAGATTTGCCAATTTCGTGGTCCTGGTGCTAGCTCTGCATATCTTGGAATCACTGGATTGGATGGATGAAGATATGGGATGGTTATCGCCTATGTTAATAGGTATTTGCTTCTATTACATGCAGAAACTACCATCCAAAGGGAAAATAACTGATAGGAATCACAAATTATCGGTGACAAAAAGAGAAATATGGTTCTTACCTATTGGAATTGCTACTTCGCTCTATCTTCGCCAAGTCTATGATTATTATCATAATTTTGAAGTGCAGCTCTACCATCCTTCCGATCTGTTCGCCTCCTTCCTTCCTTTCTATACCATAGGTTGTGGAAGCTTGATATTCATCGCATTCCACATCTACATCATCTATGCATTACTCTTGCTTAGGGGGCATATTCCTTTGATATATAACTACATCTTGAGTGGATATACCCTTGTTCCTATCTCGTTAACTTTTATTTATTTTCTCGGTACTCGTTGGTTAGTACTTGAATAATCGTTTGATTTTAAAATCTTTGTGGAAACAGAAATAAAATTTTGCTAACAAATACCTTGTTTTCGATTATTCAAACATTTCAGATGGATCTTTACGATACTTAAAACAAGGATGGTTTATATAGAGATAGAATGGTAGAGAATTATGTTTATTGTAGCCAGGGGACCATAACTTACGATCTTAAAATCCGATGTAGCTTACTCTTATCACTTCAAATAATGGACCTTAAATGTTAATGCCTTAAGTGAATTATGTCGCTCAAGTATACACATTTCTCTGGTTACTTGTATCTATATTCTCGTTAACCTTTTTATTGCAGTAAAACCTCGCTATAGCAAACCCTAATGATAAGGGAAGCGGTATCACTTATAGTGGGATATTTTTGACTTTATAAAGGAAGGTTCATTATATCACCGGTTAGTTTCGGTGAGGTTTTACTGCATTTGTTTATAAAAATAATTCAATTTGGAGAAAGAATTTCTTTGCATTTTTTCAAGTATCACGGACAACTATATAAGCCGATTTGAGACCAAGATTCAAGACCAAACCGCTCGAAACAATTTCCTAACTCAAGATTCCAAGCACAATTCTAGTAAGATATTCATTGAGATAATTGAGGAAATTGTTTCGAGCGGTTTGGTCTTGAATCTTGTTTTCAAATCGACTTATCTAGTTGTCCCGTGATATTAAAAAAGAAATCTCACTGACTCTACAAAGTACTGGGGGAGTGTGTGATAAATACCTTATTCTGAGGTCCCATTTACCATATTATAGGAAAGTAAAATCCCTACATGGAGCCACCACGTGAAGGGCCCTTGGGGGCAGCTAAAGGCCGAGCGCCGTACGGGATATCGCGACTTAACCCCGATATGGACACTCGGATTGCCATTCCGGTCCCAGGGATAACATATAAGGTTGTCCCAAAAGTTCCCGTTTTTCTTTAAACGCTTTTCATATTACTTTGAATATTACGGCGAATACATAATAAAATTACTTTATACATAATACAGAAATTGTACAGAACGGCGAATAATATTGGTATTTCAATTTTTTTTTTGCAAGTGTTTACGAACTTTTGGAACAACCTTGAAAAAAAAAATTCTGGAGGTGATTATATTAAATTTTAAACATTATTTCAGAACACACCACCACTATACGTACAGCCTTTAAAGACAGCAGGACCAAATTTCACCATTCGGCTAAATGGAAATGGACGGTCTCACGTGATCAGCACAGTTGGCAGACGTTCTGGCTTCCCCCGCTCCAACTTTGTCTCGGACCTTCAGCACTTCGAAGACAAACCAGAAATTTTAAGCTCTTTTTTTTTTTCGATGTCGACAATGTTAATAGTCTTCAGGGAAAGCCCTTTCTCTTGGTTCCCCAGAGGTCTTAAATTTGAGTTCTCATTGATCTTTCCCCCAAAAGAAAACTACCATCGTTTTACATGGGTAATTTATTCTTATTCGTGTGCTCCCAATGAAGATTAGCCACTTAAGTCATATACAATTTTGTGATGGACAACATTTGGCATCGCCAGTGCGAAGACCAGCGACCAACAAATGTGGGAAAATTCAGCCTCGCAAAGTGAGGCCAGGGTTGATAGTGCCCTTGCATCCCGCTGCAAATCCGCACCTTGTAACGAAAACTGTCAAAAACAGGAATTGGAGCCGTCAAAATGGGAGGGAAACGACATAAAGTCTGGTCTGCGCAGAGGCTAAGAGGGTTTCAGCTCTGGTTAACTTTATTTGAAAACGTTAAATCGCATTACACATCAGAGAGATCATAAATAAGCGACTATAAAGAAGTAATAGTGGGTAGTAAAGAGTAAGAAGTTGATTATAAAAGGAATGTGACTCGAGTAAAGATACAAATAATGAATGAGCTTAAAGTAAAATTACAAAGTCTAAGAGGGATATGTACAAGTTATTTTCAAAGTAAAAAGAGGTCAAGTAAAGATTCAAACAGCATAGGGAAATAATAGTAGGTTGTAAAGAGTGGAAAGATGCTTTATGATAAGATAAATGTGGCTCGAGTAAAGATACAAATAATGAGCCTAAAGTAAAATAGTTTAAAAGGGATATGTACAAGTTTTTTTTTTTTTTTAAATAGAGGTCAAGTAAAGGTTCAAACAGAGCAAGTTTACAAGTTTGAGGTATATGTATAACATATGTATATGTACAGAGGGAATGAGAAGATACAAAATCAGAACAGGCGAGGGTAGACTAAACTATTTGACTACTTATTAAAAAATAGAGACGTGATTTCTCGCGCTTTGTATGAAAGATAACATTAAGACCTAGACCACAATAATCATGGTAGAATATGGAGAGAAATATCAATAGTAATACTATGCAGGGTTTTGAGAGCGTAGGAGTGTCTGAAATTTCCTATTATGAAGAATTCAAGAAGCAGGTTGAGTTTTCAAGTAGTATATCAGTATGACGAAAAAGAACAGGAGTGACAGATTCCAGATCCGCGAAGGCTCTGATTCGAATTCAGTTTTGGTCGTCTTTGATTATCAGAGTTTTAAAGATGAGCAAGAGTTTTTCTTTGTATATGCAGTCGAAAAATATCGGCAATTTAACATATATAAAGAATACAAAATCCTGCAAGTGGGTACATATCGTTTTAATGTTTTGTAAGAAATTTGAATAATTTTTGACGCATATGATTCTTTTTTTTGAATCCATTTTATACTGCCCTAACTGCAATGGGAGGGTTCACCACTAATAATTCAGTCCCTCCTATTATTTTATCATTGCAGTAAGGGCAGTAGAAAATTGATTAAAAAGAATCATATCCGTTAAAAATAGTTTAACTTTATTATAACAGATGGCGCTCTAATACATCGTATTGATAGAATATATTGTACTATAACATATTTGTGTGTGAATATCTTGTGAAGACGTGCAACTATACCCTTGTTGTTATGTCCAATGAAGAGCCTCTGATGTCTCCATGCATCTCTATCACAGCAGTTGCAATTTTCTCTATCTTGGGGGTGTAAAGCTGTTGTTGTTGTGTCCAATGAAGAGCCTCAGATGTATGGGTGTAAAATGGGTGCCGTTGCCACGTTAGTCACCTTGGAAATGAACCAGAATTTGGTCGAATATTCCAAGAGTCCAGGGGGGACCGCAGGGAGGTGTGGTCGGACTTCTCCCCCCCCCCCCCTAAAATATACCCATGTGTTGACAAATATAAGCAGACAGCACGGTTATTGGCAAGATCGTGTACGGATTATACCACGTTATATACACTCAGACCTTTTGCATTATGCGTTTAGTTCGGGATCGTGCAACTGCTTACATTAAATTTGCAGTGAATATAGAATAATGGTGTATAACGACACGTTTAACAAGTTTTACCGCAAATGTTTCTTTTGAACGAAAAATCATAATTTAAGTAGAAATAACGACTATTTCTATCCTTAGGGATGAAGTATGAAAAGATGAATTGTGAAGAGTAATGATGAATGGAAAAAATCATACTTCATCACTCTAAGAATCTAGTCGTTATTTCTCCTTAAAATAAATTACAATTTTTCGTTCAAAAGAAACATTTGCGGTAAAACTTGCCAAACGTGTTGTTCCACAATCATAAACCGCATTATATTGTATTATAAAATAATGTATATTTGATTGGGGCCTGAAATGGTTCAAAGTGAAATAGTTTCGACAGATTTGAACATGCAGATATCATTTAAAATATTATCGCGGTGCTATTTTAATGTTCATGTAACGATGTCATGCTTAGACCACGTCATCGTGACAAAATTAATTGCAATTTGTTATTGAATTTGTTAAAAGGATATTAGAAAGTTTAAGTTGGTTTCTTTACTTTGGTAAAAAAAAAAAAAAAATTATGCAACACCAATGAATTTTTCTATTGATTTTTTTTTAAATATTCAATTATTAAATCAAGAGACGTTGAATTTTTTGCTGAGGTTTTGATCAGGTTTTAGGAAATTGTGGATGAGCAATGCTCTCAAGCATATTATATATATATAATTATATTTATTTCTAGTATCCTCAAAGCTTATTTCCATAGTTCACACACAACACACATTTAAAATACCAATTTCAAGAGTATCGGCATAAAAATAAAACGGCAAAATGCTGCAATATTACAACAGTATGGTAGATTCAACTGGCAAAACCGCTGGAAGGGTTCAACATTAATGATCAAGGCCCTTCCATTATTTTTATCGTTGTATTAAGAGTAATAGATGATTGTTTAATTTCAAAAAGAATCATAAACGTTAAAAATAGCTCAAATATTTATAACAGATGGCGATCTAATACATCAGATTAGATTATGTACAAGAAGAGACCCAGTTTATCAAAGGTCATAAAATATCTAACAGCTACTTGGTCCCTAGTTATAAAAGAATTTGATATTTGCGGAAGAGCGATTGCTCGAAGCATATTCTATATTTATAATTGTTTTGAAAATAGAGCAATCCATACTTAATTCATTAGATAATAAAAGGCATATATTGGATTTAATAGAAGATTTATTTTGCCAATATTTCGGCTGGCTGAACGCCAACCTTTATCGAGGCATTACATTTATGCATTATATATACAAAAATGTAATGCCTCGATAAAGGTTGGCGTTCAGCCAGCCGAAATATTGGCAAAATAAATCTTTTATTAAATCCAATATATGCCTTTATTATCTAATTTATAATTGTATGTAATTCTACTGACCTCAAAGCTTATGTCCATAGTTCATCTAAAATACCCATTCCAAGAGTCTACCAACAGTATCACTATAAGAGGAAGTTCTAAAAATGCACTATAACAGCGGTATGGTAGATTAAACTGGCCAAACCGCTGGGAGGGTTCACCACTGATGAGCCAGGCCCTCCATTAATTTTTCCATTGCAGTAAGGGCAGTAGAAATTGTTTAATTTCAAAAATAATCATACGCGTTTAAAATAGTTTCGAATTTTGATAAAAGAATAATCCACAAACATTATTGTTACAAAAGACAGGAATTATCAATAAGTCAAAATTGTTTTCTTTGAGAAACAATCCCAATAGTGGGAATAAATTGGTTTTGAAATTACTGCATGAAGGACACCTATGTATAGTTGTCATGTGCCAATTGCCAGAAGTTCCATATGGTGGCCAAACTTAGATTTCAACATAGAAAACCAAGTTAAAGAATACAACGCATGTCAGGTACAGGGTGACCGAAAAGTCTTGCACAACTTTAAAAATTAATAACTCGGCGAATATTCGCGCTAGAGCAATTCGGTAAACACCATTGTGTTCAGGATGCAATGTGAATTCTTATGGAAAATAATGAAAAATTCTAAATTGATTGTTACAATTTATTCGCTAGATGGCGCTCTACCAGAATCAGAGATTCAGCGGCCAAATTGTTTGATAAATTGAAAAATATAACTGATCGACACGTATTTTTGTGCAAGATTTTTGGATCACCCAGTATATCAAAAGAATGCCTGTAAAGTGCCGTTGAATCCAAGGAACATATCCAAACTCACCAAGGACTTATCTTTACATGGATTTAGCAGGAACTTTTATGGGAGAAAAGTTTCTAAGAATTATAGACACAACAAAATTGCCAATTTAAAACATTTTTATTTACTCCTAGTATTATCGTGAAGATAGAAGTTGCCCCTGGCCGGCTTTCATAGTTGTTACAATTAAATATAATTCGGCCAGTAAATATCTTTTTATTGTCCTGAGGAGGACAGATTTTTGTCGAAACGTTTAAATTTTATTTGCTCCTGATGAGGACAAAAGATTTTAGCCGAAATGTCGAGATAATAAAAAAATTTATACTGGCCGAAGTATCTTTAATTTTAACTCCTAGTCAATAGTTCAAACACAGCAATATTTACATCCTTATTCATCGATGGAGGCTCCGCCATCTTGAGAGGGTCTTCCTCCAGACAAGGAGTCTTCTTGATACCTTCCCAGTTCTACCCCGAGGAAATACCTGTAAATTCAGGTTTTAACAGAAGTCAGGATGGCCAAGGGTATCATCATCCAGGCCATGTCCGAAAATCCAGCTCTGCAGGTCAGGAGGCCGCTCGTTGATCGTGATTATAGACCGTTATTTAGTGATTATCGATGCCTACACTGATATTGAGTAAAATATATCAGGACTCCAGGGAAAAGTATCTTTTCAAAAACATTCTCTAGCGCTTTCGGGCACCAACGACCTTCTATAGGAGAAAACATGGTATAATTCACCAATTACTGTAGAAGGGCGTTCGTGCTCCAAAAAGCTAGAGCATAAAAATATTTTTGAAAAGATACTTTTCCCTGAAGACCTGATATAGTTTTACTCAATATTGAAACAAGGAATTATTTTATTGAATTGTCAGCACTAAAAATTGTTGGAAGTAAAAATACTTAATAAAACGACACTTGAAGTTACACCGCATGAGTTTCTTTTTAACGAAAAATCATTTTTTTTTTATTTCAAGGTGAAATATTGACTATTTCTAACCTTTTTGGATGAGGTATGAAAGGGTGAATTATGAAGAGTAATGACGAACGGAAAAATAAAAGTGACCAGGGATGGGAATCGAACCCACAATGTTCCGCTTACCGGGCAGATGCCATGTCCACTAGGCTACCCTGGACGTATTTTCCATTCGTAAATGATACATAAAGTAGAAATAGTCGATATTTCACCTTGAAATAAAAAAAAATAGATTTTTCGTTAAAAAGAAACTCATGCGGTGTAACTTCAAGTGTCGTTTTACAATTACAAACCGCAGTGTATTATATTATACTTAAGAATACAACTTCAAATGAAATCTTAAATGAGCTAAGAACAATATTTTCCACAATTTGGAATATGCACTTAAATCACAACTGATAATGGAAGTTTCTTTCATATGATTTCAAACACTTCTACTAGGCTAATAACATTAAACACCAGATGGTAATGTCTGATGTTTTTGTTTTTAGAATGCCTTTGTTTTCTTTATTTTAGAAGCCATTTGCATTTTTTCTCTTTCAAATTTGGTGGTTGCAAAGATGTTCTATTTAATAAAAAGTATAATGTGTAAAAATTTATACAACATACAGCAAGAATAGAATGTAAATGAAAACAAAAAATGCCGCTAAATTTCAAAACAATAAATTTAACGGCATTTTTTTTGTTTTCATTTACATTCTATTTTTGCTGTATGTTGTATAATTTTTACACATTATATTTTTTATTAAATAGAATATCTTTGCAACCACCAAATTTGAAAGAGAAAAATGCAAATGGCTTCCAAAATAAAGAATGTCTAATGTGTCGATCCGGGCCACGAAAGAAGTTTAAGGCAACAAGACTATTCCTAAGGGCGGACTGACTAACTTTATTCGTTAATTACGTTAAATTCAAACTATGTAAATTAAACAAATATGCAAAGACACAACATCTTATAATCCAGAAAATCAGCGATATAGTTTAAAGAGCTATACAAACATTTAAAACATTTTAAAGGCTAAAGGTCTAACTAAAATAGATGAAAATTCTCAAAGAGTTCCATTTCATTACAGGAACATTCCCTATTCGGCCAGAGAAGAAACAACAGCACCGTTGATGTTCGGTAGAAGATTAAGAACACACCTAGAAAACTTGAAACCTGACCCCAATCAAATAAATGATACTCAAAATATAATTATGATTCTGTAATCATGGAGAGGACTTTTTAGGAAGGAGATGCGACGCAAAAAAGAATGTTCAACACAAAAAGAAGATATATTGGGCTCCTGCTATGATTCAAGAAGACATTAGACCTGTCACCTACAAGGTACAGTTAGAGGATGGAAGAAATACAAGAAGACATGCAGGCCTTATCAATTATACATTCAAAATATTCTAAGACGAAGCCTTATTTCCTGGAAACATCGATGCAGGTCTGTTGCTAAACGTCAAGGCTTACACACAGAAAACAATAAGTTGTACAAACATTAATAAATAATTTTCAATAAAGCACTAAAATCGTTATTTTAAAAATGGAACATCCTCTGTAGGATACCATGTATAGCTAGCACGGAAGAAGAGTAATTTATAAAACCTTATAAAGAGTTCGAACTACAATCAAGAGACTCCATGGGGCCTGATGAGGAACCTTTGGCCACTGAAGGAGCAACTCTTGCCCTTCGTCTCTCAAGAAAATTGGAAAGATTCCATCTATTTTTAAACAATTAGAAGGTACATCTGAACTTCAACCACAGATGTCTCTCAAATGGAATTATTCCACCTTCCTTTATTTTAAAATATCCTATACGAACTAAATTTTCTCTTAAGATCTTGTATCAAACTGTGATAAAACCTTTTTAATGCCCGAAACAAAAACTGTCACTATAACATAAATAAATCACAATTGAATATTGAAATAATTATTCCTAATCTGAAAACAAAAGATTAGTGATGATTATTTTGAAAGGTTGAACACATAATTAGCCAGACAATTTAAAATAAAATAGAATCTTTGCAACACAAAAACTTTCAAAAAAAAAAGTAATAACCTGACGAACAAATCTAAACGTCAAACAGACAAAAACACTGTAAATAATCTTTCACACCTTCATTCACCCCCAGAAACAATAACTATACTATCAAAAGAGCAAACTTTGTGCCATCTCAAAAGATGTGAACACTCCTAAGACATTATCCGCAATAAATAATTCAATAAGAAAAACTTCTTAGATAAACAAAAGGCGAGAATTAGAACGGTTATAACCCCATGGGAAAAACAATTTAGGAAGACAGAGAGACAAATTCAAGATATAAAGGAATATCATAGACAATTGAAATCAAACCAACAAATAACCATAGTACCTTCAAATAAAGGTAGAAACTGTAATCATGGACGTGATAGAATATAACAACAGAATCGAGCAGTTGCTTCAAGATCAATAAATATGCCAACCGTGTTAACAAAGAATCCTCAAGCCAATCCTACAGAAGATATCAATAGACAATTTAACAAAATTAAGCGCAAATACAAGCAAGATAACAAAACTTTCGACAGTTTAAAAGCAAAAACCCCGAATCTTCCGAATTTACACGGCCTATCGAAAGTTCATAACCGAACACCCCATTACGTCCCATAGTGTCATATTCTGGCTCTCCCCTATACCCCATCACCAAATATCTGTCATCAATTTCCTCGCCATTCCGGAAGAACCTTCCCCATACAGTCCCCAATCCAATAGCAGCTATTGAAGCCATCAAAAATATTCCAGTCTCACATGACAGCCGGATCATATCTTTTGATATAGAATCCCTTTACACTTCTATCCCACATGAAGCATTTCTGGCTCTCCAAGAATTTATAAACTCCCACTCAGACTTACCCCTCCCTATCCCAAAGGAAGCTCTTATAGACCTGATCAAACTCTGTCTATCATTTAACTATCTAAACTTTAAAGACAGATATTTCAAACAGGTCAAAGGGCTTCCTATGGGAAATCCTATATCATCTGCATTGGTTAATATCTTCATGGACAAAATTGATAAATTAATCGTTGAATATATATATATATCGAAACAACACTACAAAAATATTTATATGGAAGCGTTATATTGATGATATATTTTGCATCCTAAAAATTAATGATTCCATAATTTTAAAATTTTAAAATAGTCTTAGATCCTTTCTAAAATTCACTTATAAATTGGAGAAAATACTTCTTTACCATTTTTTGGACATACAACTAACCAGAAATAAAATAAAATTGAGACAAGAAATCATCGCAAACCAACCCACATTGGAAGGTGATTGAATTTAAGTTATTTTGGTCCCATCCATAAAAAATTCCGTAGTTAAAACACTTTCCAAGAGGTTGGCTGCACATTTTACAAATAATAATTAAGCAAAAATTGAAAGAGAAAGAATATTTCAAGACCTGCGCGCGGGCACGACCCACCAGGGACAGGTCGCATAAGCTTGTTCCAGCATCCCCATCAGTTGGGAGGCGACGGTGTTCCTGACGGTGATCGTGCAGCCCAGGACATTCAGCGACTCGGATGTTCAGGAAATTCCCAGAGGACAATCCGTCCGGTTCTTCCAGGAACAGTACCAACGCTCGCAGCTCTTGTCGAAGTTGACAGCCACTCCGAAAGAAATGCAGAACTCTTTGAAGATCAGAAAACGAGACAAATTGAGTGTCGTTTCTGACGAACTGTACGGTGTCATCTGCATAGGCAACCACGAAATCTGGGCCCAATTTCCTCTCGAGGCGGCATGGCAGGAGCCCAACCCTGCCCCTGAAGCCCTACCTCACCACGTTGAGAAGCAAAAAGGCCCTGGTTTTGCCTCCAGTGTCAGATAGTATTGCGCCTGGATAAAATTGGAACAAAATTCCTGGTAGAAACATTGGTCTACTTTTCCGGCCGCCGACTTGTCTCGGACCGCCTATTTCTGCCTTGTGCCGGTACATTCTTGTACTGTTGTTAGCATAAGGTTTGCCTGTTCCAGACCCAGGTTGTTGGGTTTCGCCAATGGTAAATTGAGGGGTGGGGAATTCAACACATAAATTATGGAAGCTGCGTTGCCCAATTCAAGATTAATATAATATTTGTGAATGTTAGCTTTCGTCATACTTGCCAGCTTCATTTCCTGATGGCCGGATGGATGCGGGATGTAGGCCGATGCCTAAGAACCAGGTCTGCAGATCCAGGGGCACTTCGCAGGATGCGAACACCTCCCGGAGCAAGGGTCGCATGGCTCTGCAACTCCAATATCTGTGGGCCAGAGGCGACACAGGCGGCACACCTCAAATCAGGATGGTTAGGATTGGGATAGGGCGTGGAGAGCCAGCCGAGGGGCGATGTCTGCGTAGTGTTTCGAGAAGCAATTGCGACGCAGGTAGACCCAGGAGAAGGAGTGAGAGAGATACAATTACCAATTAACATAATTTTAGGACATCTTGTCAATACAGGTTAAAGTGCACAGTCCGAACTATCAATATAATTATTAATTTACAATGATGATGATTATATACATTTTGAAAATAGATCATTCCATAAATAGATATTTAATCAATAAGGTATTTATTGGGTCAAAAAATAATTTGATCCGATATATACCTTTTTAATTAAAGATATATCTTTGTACAATGAATAAGTACCTGGCGTCTCTGCCACCCCTGCGACACCACACATTTCACGAACTACGAAGATAACGTTGATCGCGTGCTTCGCCGTTGGGGAGATGGTGATGGCGTGGCCCTCGAAGCCCACCGCGCAGATCCAGTTCTGCAGGTCCAGCGGCCTCCCTATGATGGAGAACGTCTCTCGGATGAAAGGTGGACCAGGGAAAGGTTTCTGGACCCGCAGGCGATGCAGACGGGCTGGCTCGACGCCGGGTACCCGGATGAGGCAGGGCATGCAGGGCCAGCCGCAGAGCATGCGCATACATTGAATGACCTTCTAATGAGAAGCGGCGATGAATTGAAAATGCCCTGCTGATGGAGAGAGGGCACATCGACGAAAGGTGCCCAGCGCCGGAGATACCGTGAGATAGAAACGGCCTCCAACATGCCACATAAAATGCGTTTGCTAACTCCTTATAATCGCTCCTTGCATTTTTTGCCACCAGACGCCGGCATAATGAACAAAAGGCGGCTGCATCGT